TGAGTCCGGATTGCTATCGACCCAAAGCAAGGTATTTAACAATCCCGAGTCTGTTTCTGGCTCTACAGGGTGGGGAGCCCCCACCCCCACTGAGTCGCGGAGATGATTACGCGAGGTACTGTGATACGCGCTCGGCACAGCGCCAGGAGTGGGTCCAGGCGTCCTGGCGCTGCGCCCAGCCCGGCTTTTTTCGCCGCAGCGCGGCCCGGGCTTCCCAGTTTACACGCATTTAGCCTTTCCCTCTTCCTCCGGGGAAGCTCCCCGGGTGGCCGTGGCCCGTGATTTCCGCAGCTCCTCTCTGCCCTGGGCTCAGCCACCCGCCTCCCCCTCCTGCCGACAGGTGACCGCGGAATCCCGCTGCAAGCTGCTCAGCTGGCTGATCCCCGTGCACCGCCAGTTCGGCCTCTCCTTTGAGTCGTTGTGCCTGGCGGTGAACACCCTGGACCGCTTCCTCACCACCACGCCTGTAGCCGCGGACTGCTTCCAGCTGCTCGGGGTCACGTCCCTGCTCCTCGCCTGCAAACAGGTACCTGCCTGCGGGCACCAAACTCCCGGCCCTTCTGGCCGCCGGGTTCTCCAGCGCACGCGATCTAGGGACGGGCTCCCTGAGCTCGTTCTGGCAGAAGTTTGCGAACTTACGCGCCCACAGCCTTACCTGCACAGTCACTCCCAGGCTGCAGTCAGTCCCCAAGGTCACTGCCAACAGCTCTTGGCAGTGTCGCTGCTCCAGTCCCTTTAAATGTTCTCAAACATTTCTTCAGTTGGGCAGCAGTTAGAGAAGACGCGCGGGAAGCCCAGCGCAGGTGGCTCAACTGGAAGTAATGGCCTCGTGAAGCCCCTGCCCTCTCGCTGGCAGGGATGGGGGGGAGCCGCGGTTTCTCCCGGGTTTGAGGCTGGGGTGCGCCCTGGGCGCTGGAGCCTGTGCACGCGGGGGCTGAGCGCCCTGTGCCGCAGGTGGAGGTGCACCCGCCTCGCGTGGAGCAGCTCCTGGCCCTGTGCTGCGGCGCCTTCTCCCGGCAGCAGCTCTGCAACCTCGAGCGCATCGTGCTGCACAAGCTGGGCTTCTGCCTGGGCGCGCCCACCGTCAGCTTCTTCCTGGAGCACTTCACACACGCGCGCGTGGACGCGGGGCAGGCCCGGGTCTCCCAAGCCCTGGAGGCGCAGGCGCTGGCGCAGGCAGTGGCAGAGCTGAGCCTGGCGGACTATGCTTTCTGCAGCTACTCCCCCTCCCTGCTGGCCATCTGCTGCCTGGCGCTGGCCGACAGCGTGCTCCAGCTCCCAAGCCCCGTGGACTTGAGCCTGGGTGAGCACCCCGAGCCGGAGCTTCAGGACTGCCTGGGCAAGTTGCAGCTGCTGGTGGCCATCAATGGGACCTCCCTGGCGCACGTGCTGCCCCTCCAGATCTGTGACAAGTGCAGCCTGTCCAAGAACTCGAAATAAAGTTGGCCCTGGGTCTCCGTTCAGCTCCTGGGGCCGGGCCCCTCCTATTGCTTTGAGAGAATGCAGTGTCGGCCTAAGGAGAGGAGCGCCAGGCCCCGCGTGGGCACCGGCTGGTCCTGTGGGCTGTAGACAGTGTATGTGTGATACCCGCGTCTGGTCACTTATTTGCTGAGAGCACAGGAGAGAGCTGTCTTTGCCCAATAAACAGGCTGCCTGTGTGTCCTGGTGTGTCTGAATGCTGCTCTTGGGCTTCTTTGTCACATGGAGGGATGGTGAAGGCCTCTGGGCAAGAAGGCAACAACGGAGGGGCCCTGCCTCCCCTCCACCCCCCTCTGCACTCAGCAGTTGGCATGTCTGCAGGGACACCAGGTCAGAGAGGCCCACGTGGAGTCAGGGTCACCTGAAGGCCTGCACCCTGTCCCTCTGACAGCCCCTCCCCCCCGCCATTCGGGAGGCTGAGGCCAGCACACCCCCAGGAATCAAAGGGGTGCTGGGGTGTGAGGCCCACAGAGCCGGCACCAGCCCCTGCTGCCAGCAGCCCGCACAGGTGCACTGGCCGAGAGGAGGCTGAGCCCCCGGCAGCTCACAGGTGCTGCAGATCGAGGCCTTGCGGGCAGCCACGGCCGCTGCAAACCCCGCCCTCACCCTGCAATCAGATGGCTCTGCAGTCGGGCTTCTCTCCCACACCTGCTACCTGGGAGCGGGGTAACAGCAGCTCGGCAGCAATCAGGGCTCTCGCGGGTGCCCCGTGCACTCAGCGTTCCCTGTTTCTGTCTGAGGCTTCTGTGAGGGGCAGTGTCTAGCACCTCGCTCTCCGTGGGGGACCCTGGGCCGCGGGGGGTTCAACCGTGGGGCAGCGGAAGGAGGAGAAGGCAGGTGGTCTGCACTGCCCTCGCTCGCCCACCCGCAGCCACTTTGCTCAACTCCCACGCCCCTCCCCCAAGTCTCTGCAAGTGCTCGGAAGGCGCTCCTCCTGGGACAGGAGGGGCGGGTGGGAGGCGGCAGGATGCACTCGTTAAACAAACGGACTCCGGGGTCCGTGTGCCGGGCGACCTTAAGCGAGTCTAAGCCTCTCCTGTGACAACAGGAGCACCAGCGCTCACCTCGGAGGGCTGAGGCCTGGGTGTGATGCGATGTCCCCTCACACCCCCAGCACGGGTCCCGGCAGGTTGCGAGTCTTCCAGGAGGCTGGTGGTGGCCTGCACAGGGAGGAGGGGAGAGGAGTTACACGGAGAAACACTTGGAGACAGAAATATGGAGCTGAAGCAGCCCTGGCTGGTGTGGCTCAGTGGACCGAGTGCTGGCCTGAAAAACCAAAGGGTCGAGGGTTCAAGTCCCACTGAGGGCACATGCCTGGGTTGCAGGCCAGGTCCTCATGAGAGGCAACCACACACTGATGTTTCCCTCCCTCCTTCCTTCCCTTCCTCTCTCTCTAAAGATAAATAAAATCTTTTTTAAAAAAAAGAAATAGACATGAAGCAAATGCAGGGAGATGTTGCCAGTTGGAGGTGAATACACTGTTCACGGTTCTGTTCATTCAAATTTCCTGTATTTTGGGGGGGTCATGTTCTATTGCATTTAGAACTAAATGTGTGACAAGTAAGCAAAAATAAAAACAAAGCACATTTAGAGGCTTCTCCCTCGCACTTCTTCCCGCGCCCTCCAGTGCTGTCCAGAGCCCGGTGGGCCTCGCTCCGAGTCCCTCGTGGGCCACTCTCCCCATGCGTTTGCTGCTCTCTCCAGGAGCTTGGTCCCCCTGGGCTCAGGGGGAGGGAAACAGTGACCCCCAAGGTCTTTGAGGAGAAGCTGGTGGGTGATGGTGAAGAGGAGGAGGAAAATCACATCGTCTCTGCCAAGTTCCAAAGTGTCTGGAGCCCTCGGCCTGGCTGTGGTGGGGGGAGGGGACCGGCCCTTCTGCGAAAGAGTGACCTTGGGCAGTGCGGTCCCGGCCGGCATCGCTCCATCACTCAGCCCAAACTGGAGTCACCCACACTGGGAGTCCTGTAGTCACGCGGCCCAGGGCCCCTGCCACAGTTACTCTAGTGCGAATTTTTATGCACAGTGCCCGTATGTTCCTACACAATTGAGGGAACTCACTGGTGGAAAACGAGCTTGTTCTGGAAAATCGTTGATGGTCTCCACGTGCAAAAATCTCCCCAAAACTTAGCTAAGGGCCCCCCTACCCCCCTGTTACAGGCTGGGAAGTTGGGGAGGGGTGGGGGAGGGGCGGGCCAGCCGGCAGCCGGGCTGCTGGGGAACCAAGGGAAGCAAGCGCCAGAGCCAGGACGGGCTGTGGGCATCGGGAGGTGCCCAGAGAAGGCTTCTTAACACATTAATCTCTCCACACACACCGAGAAGCACCAGTCGGGACCTAAGTAATCTCATCCTCACAGCGACGCCCCGAAGTCCGTGTTACCTCTTCCGTACACACCTGGGGTTCACGGACCTGGTTCTGATGCTCGGGCCCTCGGAACCTACAGCCTCGGCTGGCTACGGTCAGCGGCATCGCCCCCGCTCCAGCCGACTGGCCTCGCCCCCCCGGGTGGCCGAGTGGACAGACGGACCCGAGTCTCTAAGTCGACACGCGCTCTTGTCACTGTGAGGGGGTCTCATTTATTAAACCCGGATAAAAAGGGTCTTTCATGACTAGAACCAGGCATGGGACACCAAGGGCCCAATTTCAGACGGTGGCTCCGACGAGATGGGTACGCGTGGTCTCGAGGGACGCCCCTTTTTGGGACGGGTTCGGGCAGGCAGCCGCCTCGGCGGGGGAGCCGCCACCCGGAGTACCGAGGGGACAGCGGACAGAGACGGGCTGCAGGGGCTGTGGGCCTGCCCGCCGAGGTGGTTTCCCAAGCCTGAGGACGGTCCGTGGGTGTCATTTTGCCCTAAACGGCCCCCTTTCAAAGGCAACGCTCAGGCGCTGCCGCCGGGAGGAGCGGGGCCGGGGGCGCGGGGCTCCGGGCCTCGGACACCGCAGATCCCGCGCGCCCCCGGGAGTCTCGGGGATGAGGGACGGAAACTGTTCCCGCGAGTTCCCGCCGGGGCTCCACGCCCCGCCACGCGCCCCAGGGCAGGGCTGACGCTGGGGCCTGGTTTCGGAAACGGCCCCTTTGCGTCCCGCTCTGCGTCTGGGTGCGAAGAAAATGGAACGAGAATCCGCAGCCGCGCATCCCCGCTGCCCAAGGGCGGGAAGCCAGCGCTCGCGGTCAGGGACCCGCGGGCCCGTCCGCCCTTCCCTCGCTCCCTCCCGCCCTCCCTTTGGCGCGGCCAGGAGGCGACGGCGCCAACCCTCCCCGAAAGGGCGCTGGCGGGCCGGGCCCCGCGCTCGCGGCTCCCGGGGGAAGCGGTTGCCGGGCTGGGCTGAGCGCCTCCGCCCGGCGCAGATTGTCCGCGCCCCAGGCGCCACCTCCGGCGCCAGCAGCCCCTCCCGCGCGCGGCCGCCCCCGCCCCCCGCGCCCCCCCGGCCACGCGCCTGCCCCGAGCTCCCGAGGGCTCCCTGGGTCTCCGCCTCCCGGCCGTCCGCGGGGTTCCCGGGCCGAGGCCGGCGGGCAGGCGGGATGCAGGCGTGCGAGGGCGCCGCGGCGGGACGCCGGGCCTTCGACAGCATCTGCCCCAACCGGATACTGGAGCTGCGCGGCCGGGCCCCCGGGAAGCCCGGGAAGCCGGAGAGGAAGGTGGGGCGGGGCGCGGGGCCCGGCGGGGCCGCACACCCCAGGCCCCCAGGACTGACCTGCACTCCGTTTCTGTGCCCGCCTAGTTCGCCCCTCCGCGGACGTTCTTCTCCGGTTGCGGCGGCGGCAGCCCGGTGTCGGTGTACGAGGACCCCCCGGGCGCCGAGCCCGCTACGCTGCCGGGTGAGCGGGGTGGCCCGGCGCGCGGCCCCTCGGGTTCCCAGTGCCGGGCAGGTGGGGCGCGCGCGGCCCGGCCGGAGGCTCACGGTCCGCCGGGCGCGTCCCCGGCTCTCCCCGCGCAGCCCTCACCACCATAGACCTGCAGGACCTGGCCGACTGCTCGCTGCTCGGGCCGGACGCGCCGCCTGCCGGTGACTCGGCCGCCTGGCAGGTACCTCCCTTTCCTCCTGGCTCCGGTGCCCGCACTCTGGCTTCGGGGTCACGGGTGTGTTCCGCAAAGACTTGTCGCCCGTGGGGAGTGCGGACACGTCTGGCTAGTGAGGGAACATGGGGCCGGAATCCGGGCCCGGAAGATCAGATTTCCTCCTTCCTCCCAATAACTCAGGACTCACGGCCGCCTTCTCACAGCTGTTCTGACCGATCCGGGCAGGGGGCTCACCTGGAGGGCGGGCGCCCCTGCCAGGCCCGTCTCCCGGTCTCCTTCATCCCCATTCCCTGGGGCTTCCATCGCTCAGCCCAGGCAGCAGGGACGGTCTTGTCCGTTCCCCAACCCCGGCCTGGCCTGCACCTTTCCCATCGCCTGGGTGTCTACCGAGTGTGGAGATCGGAGGGTAACTTGTGGATCAAGACTGGGAAGGTCGAAGAGAGTTTACACGTGCAGGAAGCGGGAAGAGGAACGGGGAGAAAGCCGCAGAAGACACTCGTCTCTGCAGAGGGGCCCTGCAGTGGTTCTGAAGTTTCTTTTCTCTTCCCTTCCGAAGGCTCAGGTTACCTACCCTCCTCATGAGACAGAGAGGCATTGGACTTTTTTCCCAAACCCAACTTCTTCCTTCCCTGCCACGCTAGTGCTGGCCAGGGCCGATCCTCCCAGGGCGGATGGTGGAACCTCCCAGCGCTGGTGCCCGCAGGCCCAAGGCCTGCTCACCCCGGGACGTGAAGTGCCCCGGAGGACAGGTGGTCCCAGCGAAATGCAACCCGGAAGAGTGCCAGTCCAGCCTCCTGGCAGCGTGTGCTGGGCACAGGAGGCTGGTGGGGGCAGACCCGGCACGGAGCCCTCTCAGACATGACCACCTCCTACAGCTGCAGGCAGCGATGCAGCAGAGCTTCCCAGGGGGCCCCCCAACGCCTGCCCCTGAGAACCTGGACAGGGTGGGGGGGTCTTGGGGGAGGTGGCCTGCCAGAGCAGAGGCTGTCCAGGGAAAGGTAAGAGTGGGCGTGGCCCTGCGGAGGCCGTTCTGCTGTTCTTTTAAGTTCTGGAAGCTCAGAGAAGGAGAGACAGAGTCTGCAGGCCCCTCCCGGCGCCCAGAGCCCACGCGGCTCTCCCAGCCGCCCTGTCCGAGGCCGGGAGGCTCTGGCTGAGTTTTCACCCTGGTACACAGAACTGAGGCGTGACATCACGCCCGTGTTGGTCTTTGTTTCGGTCTGCTGTTGTTGGAGGAATGCCAGATTCCTGTGTGACCGGGAAGGTCGGGTCAAGTTCCAAGGACAGCGGCCACACAGGATGGCCCGAGAGGTCCAAGGCTTCTCCTGCGGAAGACAGCTGGTGCAAGAGGGAGGGGGGCCCCTGGCCCGTCCTGGCCACATTCCCCAGCCCCTCCTGTTGGGGAAGGCGGGCAGAGAGGGGTGCCCTGGAGGGGTCTGAGGTCCAGCATGTGTCATGCCAGCACAGGGGGGCGTTCCCTGGGCCCCTGTCACCATTGGCCTCCAGGCTCCGCGTGGCCAGGACTTGTCTACAGTCTCTGCGGAGAGTGCAACGTTCCTGCCCTTGTCCAAGGAGCCTCCTCTGCTCTCCGGTGCCCTCCACCAGGGCAGGACTCGAGCTTGGCATTTCTGGGGCCCTCGGCCTCTCCTTCCTCAGTTCCTTTCCCCTGCAGCCTCAGTCCCCAGCTGATGCCAGGGCGTCCCCCCCAATGAAGCCCTCCTCCCTGAGGAAAACCGACTCAGACACTGTTTGAAGCTAGGGTCAGAATAAGCTTTTCTCACAAATATCTGAATAGTATAAAGACGGGCTTCAGCAAGGAGAGTATAATGGAGGCAAAGAAATCTACTGATCAACAGTAGTGCAATGAGCAGAATAGAGATTCTTGGTGGGCACGCTGGAGGCGCCGCCCACCCCATGTGCCCAAAAGACCACTTCCCAGCCTGGCTGCGCTGGAAGGCAGGCGGAGCCGGAGGCACGGAGGTCCAGAGGCAGGGGGATCGAAAGGGACGCCCGCATCCTGGGCAGGAGCCCCGATGCCACAATTTCAGAGCTGGGCAAGAGTGGGCAATTCAGTTTCTCTGAGCCTGATTCAGAGGAGGAGTCGTGGGGTCCTGGGCCCTGCGTGCTTCCCACGTCAGTGTGAGAAGTAAGACTCTGTGTAAAGAGTCTGTCAACTCTAAATGTTCAGGAATTAAGGGGATAGGAGGGTTCCTGGACCCCAGGCACATTGCGGGAACCGGGAGAGTGCACAGTTCAAGACGCTGCAGGTGCGTCACTCTGTGCGGGGGGGGGGGAATCAGCTCAGGATTTTTAAGAAAGGAGAGCCACAGGGCGACCCCTGGGTGTGCAGAATGGGCACACTTTCCACAGCACCTCCGCCCTGGCTTCTTAGACGACCTTTTCCTTTCCATATGGGGAAGGAGTGGTCTATTGGTGACCGAGCCTGGGCACAAATTCGGCCTTAAGCCACTGCCCTGTGAGGCCCTGCACCGTGTCGGGTCCTGGGAGGAAGGACCGGGGGTTGGGTGTCCACACAGCGCGCTCCTGGACCTGGAGCGGTGGCTCCCGGGCCTGTCGCAGGTGAGTCGGTGCCCTGGTTCCTAGGCGCAGGAGGGGCGCGCTGCAGACAGCGGATTGGCTGGTGGCCGGCCAATGGGGCGACAAAGGGACCGGAAGGGTCCAGTGCCGGGGGAGGGGAGGCGCCCTGCCTGACCTTCGTGGACCCGGTCCCCACATCGTGCACCCTCCCCGCGCCATGGCGGTGCCGGACTGCTGGGTCCCGCGTCTCGACGACGACGGGGCTTCGGTTGTTAGGTAAGAGGCCCAGCTGCGAGTGCGAGTGCGTGCAGACCCACCGCCGCAGCGTGGATCGGAGCCGCACGGAGCACAGCCGTGGGAGTGGGGCGTGTCCCGGGCCTGCCGGACTGGACGCCAATCAGTTCACCCCTCTGGTTTATTTCAGAGCCAGGCCGCCCCGCCAACGGCGGTGGACTTCGATCTGCAGGATTTCGGGGACACGGTGGAGGATCTCATTGCAGGCAAGTGAAGTCTCTCTGCCGCTGTGTGCCGGCGGGGTGTCCCCGCCGCGCTGTGGCCGGGTCAGGTTTCCTGGTCGGGAAGGCGGGAAAGCCAGCACCTGCCAGCGACCCGTCGGAGGGCCAGGCTCTCCGGTACTTGGAGGACGTGGGGCTCCCCGGTGGAGAAGATGAATCGCAGGGTCTCTAGCGCTTTCTCAGTCTGGGAGTCTGAGATCTGGGGCAGGGGCCCAGCTGGGCCCTGCGGTCGGGAGAGAAGAGTGGCAGGAGTGTTCCGAGGACTGCAGGCAGGTCGAGCGCCTGCTGCGTGTGTGCAGTATCAGGAAGGGCCTGGGAACGGCGGGGACTCGGAGAGAGGGCCGCTGTACTCACCGAGGAGAAGTCTCCATGAACCCCTGCTTCTGCGTGCCCTCTTTTCCCAATCCCCGCGGGCGCACTCTGAGGCTGCAAACCCAGCTCCCGCTCTCCCGCAGACTCGTCCTCCTTGATGTCACCTCCCCTGGCCAGCAGAGACTTCCCTTTTTCTCCGTGCGACACACTGCCCTTCGGGCCCTGCCTGTCCCAGCCACTGGACCCGCTCGCCCTGCAGCCGCCACCTCGCCCTGCGGACGCGCTCCAATCGGAGCAGTACTGGAAGGAGGTGGCCGACCAGAACCAGAGGGCGCTGGGGGACGCCCTGGTTGAGAACAACCAAGTAGGGACTCTGGGCTGGCAACCCTGGGGCGGGACAGGGTGTGGGCCCCGGGGGTGGGAAGCAGTGGGCCCCAGGCTGGCTCACGGAGCCGCCTGGCTCCAGGGCCGTACCTCAGTTCCCAGCTTCCCTAGGGTGGGGATGTTCCTACCCCGCCAGGTTCTAACAGGGCCGCGTGTGCTCACTGAGGGCCTGGCTCTGTGTGCCTGGGTACTGTGCTCCCCAGTTCACGTTCTCCTTGCCTTCCACACCGTCCCCTTCAAGCTAGACACTCTCACTAGCCCCGTTTTGCAGGTGAGGAAACTGAGCTATAGGAAGGTTGAGCTTAAGAGGTGGGACCCATCTGCCTGTTGCTCAGGTCATTTACTCTTCACCACCAGCCACGCCAAGGGTTAGGTGCGGTGCATTTCGTCCAACTGCTCTGTTTAAAAAGAAGGTTCTAATTCTCGCCAGTGTAGCTACTCTCGGTCCCGTTCTCGATTGGACGTTAGTTAGGTCCGGGTTCCACTCGTTCAGAGCCCCTGACGAGGCCCAGCGTGGTGCCTGCCGCTCAGTGTCCCGGTCTCCTGCAGCTGCACGCGACACTGACCCAGAAACAAGAGGAGATCGCGTCGCTCAAGGAGCGCAACGTGCGGCTGAAGGAACTCGCCAGTCGGACCCGGCACCTGGCCTCCGTGCTGGACGTAAGAGGGGCGCGCACGTGGGATGCTGCGGGCGGTCGGAAATGTCCTGAACACCCGGCCCCCCGCCCCCCATCTGCTCCCAGTGTAGTGCTGGGGCGCGGTGGGGAACTCAGAGACCAGCTGGGAGCCCTCGGAGTCGCTTGCTGGGGCGCAGCTGAAGCGCTCCCAGGTGTCTTCTGCGCGCCGGACGCTGGCCCCAGGCGGCGCCCCTCCTCCTCTCTCGTAGAAGCTGATGATCACGCAGGCCCAGGATTGCCGGGCGGCCGCGGAGCCCTGCCTGCTCAAGGCCACTGCCAAGAGGAGCCTGGAGGAGTTGCTTGTAGCCGCGGGGCAGGACTGCGCGCAAGCAGACGCCATCCTGAGGGATATTTCCGAGCACTGCGACGAAGGGCTGCAGAGCCACGACCCCAAGCGGCTCCGCCTGCAGCCGGAGTCGGCGAGCCTGCTCCGCCCACCCGGGCAACTGCACGGCGCCTTCCGGGGGCTGCGCACGGACTGCAGCGTGCGCGCACTGGACCTGAGCCACGGGGAGCTGGAGGAGGGGGGCTCCTTCTGCACCCCCATCCGCAGCCACAGCACCATCCGCACCCTCGCCTTCCCCCAGGGCAACGCCTTCACCATTCGGACGGCCAACGGGGGTTACAAGTTCCGCTGGGTGCCCAGCTGAGCGGGCATGTGGTCCCTCCAGAATGTTGCCCGCATCCTGAGCGCAGCGCCCGGAGGCTCAGCGGGCGTAGCCGGAACTGTTTCTTGCACCCGGCTGCTCAGACTCCCCCAGCAGGACCGGTGCCACCCAACACCGATTTTTTCCTGGAACAAATCTCAACACCCACACGCTGCAAGTTCTGGTACAAAGACTGTCCAGCCCTCCCCTTTCACAGCGGAACCGCGTGAGTGCGCGCTTAGGCACGCACACGTGTGCGCGTGCGCCGCAGTCCACCCGCCGCAGTCCATCCGCCTTACATTCTGTACTGTCAGAGCGGGAAGGGGCTTAGGACCCGCGTGGCTATTTTATCGTATAAAATGCCTTGGGTTTATAAGAGGGAAAAGGGGGGTTTAAGAAATTGACTCATTTCTACAAGGAGAGGCATTCTTGGGGACTTCCGGTCTCTTACACTCACGTCGGGATGCACATTTTTAGATAACATTTTTATTTTTTTAAATATTTTATTTATTTTTAGAGAGAGGGGAGAGAGAAAGAGAGGGAGAAACATAAGTGTGCAATTGTCTCTCATGTGCCCCCCCGCCCCCCATGGGAGACCTGGCCTGCAACCGGGCATGTGGCCTGACCAGGAATCGGACTGGCGACCCTCTGGTCCCCAGGCCGGTGCTCGATCCACTGAGCCCCCCCAGCCAGGGCTGGATGCACATTTCGTCACTCAGCCTCCCGGGTCCTGGAAGGACACTTAACCGTGTCCCATTGAGACCTTTTCTGTAGCTGCTGGAATAAACCGCCAGGAGAGGCAGCTGAGGTCAGGGAAGCGGAGGAGGATGCGGGCCCCCTGAGGCCCCTGCTCTGAACAAAGCAGACGCCACACGTGTGTTTGCAGTGGTCTCTTGGGTAATTTTGTAAGATTTATGGTCAATCTTTATCTTAATTCTATGTACAGTTTTGCCTAAACAGAATAAGCACACAAAAGACACACTTTGTTCATAAAGACGTAAGTAGATTGCAGAAAATGGCATGTCCCACAGGAAGCAGTGTTCATATTTCTGGCCAGAATCCAGGTGTGGGCATCTTGGCAGAAGCAGAGCCACCTGTTTGAATTCCAAGGGTAGAGCGAGGGTCCGCCCTCGGGTGACGCACTTTTTGCCGTGATCTTCGAAGCACAGCCTCCGTGCTAGCACTGCCTGCACTGAGTTTCTTCTGCCCTGTCGGCCGAGGCTCCCTTTTCTCCTCTGTTGTGAGATTTTGTGAGTAGCATATGTCGAGTAGTCATTTATCCAAGTTCTTATCACGAGGGCTTCTTGTTGGGGCTCAGCCTGGGCAAGTTTCCAGGCCTGTGAAGCCACCCTGCTGGGCCGGGCCTCTGAGGGCAGGCAGTGGGGGGCGGTGAGCTGGGGCGGGGGGAGAACCTGCTCCTCCAGTTGGTCCTGGCGGCTGTCATCTGTGTTTAAATAGCCGTTCAGAAAGGGAAAAAAGGTGCTGAAATAGACCGTATTTCCTCATGCTTTGTCTAACAAATGAACTTAAAAACACGCTGGCTCAGACTTCTTGCCAGCTCAAATACCAGGTTGACATGTTCAGGACTAGAAGAAAAACATAAACACACAAACAAAGCAAAATGGAAATCCTAAGCTTGTCCCAGGAAATAATCAGCTTGTCAAAAGTTCTTTTTCTCTCCACTCCTCAGTTAGTATTTTCATAATACATTAGCTTCAAGGACTGAAGAGTTTAAAAAAATCGTATGTTTTTTTCTATTCGTTTTATGCCTGTATGTTTTTTGTCTTAAAAATTTTTTTAAATTGTTGTTCAAGGACAGTCATCTCCAGTTCTCCCCACCACTACCCGCCCAGCCACCCCCATTTCCCACCCTTAATCCTGCCCCTCTTTGGTTTTGTCCATGTGCCCTTTACAGTTGTTCCTGAAAACCCTGCCCCCTCTTCCCCCATTATCCCTTCCCACCTTCCCTCTGGTTACTGTCAGTTCTTAATCTCAGTGTCTCTGATTGTATTTTGTTTGCTGGTATGTTTTGTTGTTTAGCTTCCTGTTAAAGGTGAGATCATGTGGTATTTGTCTTTCACCGCCTGGCTTATTTCACTCAGCACAATGCTCTCCACTTCCGTCCATGCTGTCTCGGATGGTAGAAGCTCTTTCTTTCTTTCTGCTGCATAGAATTCCATTGTGTGAATGTACCACGGTTGGGTTTTTTTTTTTTTTTTTTACCCATTCATTTTACTGATAGGCCCTGAGGTTGCTTCCAACTCTTGGCTATTGTAAATTGTGCTGCTATGAACATTGGGGTGCATAGGTTCTTTTGAATTAGTGTTTCAGGATTCTTAGGGTATAATCCCAGAGGTGGAATAGCTGGATCAAAAGGCAGGTCCATTTTAAATTTTCTGAGGAAACTCCACACTGTTCTCCACAGTGGCTGCCCCAGTCTGCACTCCCACCCGCAGTGCACTAGGGTTCCCTTTTCTCCGCATCCTCTCCAGCACTTGTTTGTTGGTTTGCTTACGATGGCCGTTCTGACTGGTGTGAAGTGGTATCTCATTGTGGTTTTAGTTTGCATCTCTGATGGCTAGAGATGCTGAGCATCTTTTCATGTGTCTCTGGGCCCTTTGTATGTCAATCGTGTGGGAAAACGTATTTGCCAGTGGATGTTTAAACAATTACAGTTCTCTCTGCCATTCAGATTGTGGACCTGTGACTGTTGTGCCGTGACTGTTGTGCCCGCCACTGGCACCTCCACTGCTCAAGCAGCTTCCATTTCGGGGGCGGGGGCGGTGGGCTGCAGCTCTCCTGTGGACTAATGGCATGGATTACCAACTTCGCACTATTTAGCAATATTTGAGCTAAAAATTTAGATTCATCCATTCAGCAGACGTTTGTGGAATGTTACTGAGAATCTCTGTGATACGGTTGCTAAGAACCCAGCGAAAGAACCCAGCGCAAAGGCCTGCCCTGGAGGATCGTTCTCCTGCGAAGAGACAGACTCACCGAGTGTGCGGAGGCTGTGAGGAAGAGGAGGGTGGCGTCTCAGCTGGGGCTACCGCAGCAGAACACCAGAGCCCCGTGGGTGAGACAACAGACTTTTATTTCTCCCAGTTCTGGATGCTGTGAGGTCTGCCTCCGGGACGCCATCCCGCTGGGGCTCTGATGGGGTTCTCGCTTCCTGCAAGGGCACTCGCCCCCCCCCCCCGGACCCGCGCCCAGGACCTTCTCTGGACCTACCCACCTCCGGCAGGCCCAGCCTCCAAACGCGGTCACGGAGCTCTCCAACGTCTTGGCTCTTGAACAATTCGCTTCTCAACTGTGCCGGTCACGGAAAAGGTGTCTCAGCCGCCTAACAAAACTTCGGGTTTCTATTTCCTACCTGACAACCTGCTCGCGCTGATACCTGCGTGATCAGTCATGCGCCCCTCATGACAAAGGAGATTCGGTTTTTGAACAAATCGCTTCTCCAACAGTTTTCTGGAATGAACCAGGTTGGAGAACAGAGGTTCAACCCTACCGTCACGTCGGGGGCTGGGCTTCACCCATGGTGTTTTTTCTCCCCCCCCCAAATCAGTTGCCTCTCACTTGCATGGCCCCCCGACAGGAGCTCTCGGGCCAGGACAGCACCGGTAGCTCTGTAGCAAGTCGGAGGCGGGGAGGCCCGACGTCCCCCAGCTGTGTTCTTTTTCAAGTAGGATTGGGCAATTCTGGGTCCCTTGTGTTTCCTAATGAATTTTAGAATCATCTTATTTTCTGGGTAAAATCTAGCTGTGGTTTCGGTAGGGGTTGTGTAGAACCTGTAGATCAGTTTGGGATCATTGCCATTTGAAAAATGTTACATCTTTTGACACATGTTTTCCTTTTATTTACATCTTTTCAAACTTCTTTCAATAATGCTTTGTAGTTTCAGTGTACGAATCATACACTTCTGTTAGATTTATATCTAAGCATTTTTGATGCTATTGTAAGTAGAATTGCTTTCGTAGTTTTACCACTAATGTATAGAAACACAACTGATTTTTTGCATTGACTTTGTACCCTATAACCTTGTTAAAATCGTTCAATAGTTCTAATGGTTATTAAAATGGCTCGTAGGGTTTTCTATGTACAAGACTGTGCCGTCTGCAGCAAAGCCAGTTTTACTTCCAATCTCAGCCCCTTCGGTTTCCTCGTCTTGCTCCTGGGCCTTCCTGGGGCTTCCAGCGGGAAGGGGCTGAGCACACCCCTTCGTCTCTCTGCCGATTCTGGAACGAGACCCTCTGTCCCCAATGAGCATGACATTTACTCTGGGTTTGTCAGAAATGCCCTTTATTGGGTTAAGGAAGTTCCCTCCTTTCCCTAGTTTACTGAGCCTTTTTCATGAAAGGGTGTTACATTTTGTTGAATGATTTTTTTACAGAAACAACTGCAAATGGTTTTTGTCCATCATGCTATTAAAATGTTTTATTACATTGATTATTGGACCCAGGAGATTCTTGAAGTAAGATAAGTGAATCAGAATTTCCTTTCCTGGTAAAATGTAAACTTAGAAATAAGGTTCTGAGACTTGCAGTCACTCTGAGGGCAGAGTGCTGGGTGAAGACCCCGCAATGGGCAATGTCAACGCCTTGGGGGCGGCACCGTTCAGGGACCAGGGCTGTGGCCAGGCGGCCCAGGTGGCGACCCTCGGGAGGCGCACCCTGAATCCCAGAGGAGCTGTGCTGTCGGAGAGGACCGGGTGACACTCCGGGCAGGGGACACCCTCTGTGGGGCAGGGGGAGCACGGAGTGGGGACAGCCCCCTGCTCCCCATGTAAAGAGCAGGGAGATGCTGGGGTCCGGGCTGAGTGTCTAGGGGGTGGAACAGTTCTCCCCGGGGGGCCTCAGAGCTTTGGGGGGAGCCGATGGTGTCCTCCTCACCTTGACGTCAGAAACACTCACAGTGTGTAAAGTCTTTAAAAAAACACACGCACACACACAAACCCAACTTACGAGATCAGAGACTTGTGGTTAAAAACACACACGCACACA